ATATAAACTCCATTGCTCTGCTTACCAGAAAAGTTACCACCACGCTACTTTTTGGCATTCACAATTATCTTGAGTAAATGTGTAAATAAGGATTCCAACTTTGTATTTTTTTTATTTAAAAATGTTAACTCTGTCAATTTCTAAATAAATATGTCAACTTTTAATTTTTTTCTAAATAAAGATATTAACTTTATCAGTTTCTAAATAAAGATGTCAACTTTTAACATTTTCTATTTAAGGATGTCAACTTTCAACTTTTTCTATTTAAGGATTAATTGAATAGTAATGTTGACATGGTTAACATATTTTTTAGGTTAAATACCTGAATTGGTCCCTCAACTTTTATTTTTGAACCAATTCATCCTTAAACTTCAGAAAATACCAAAAACATCCTTCAACTTTAATTTTCAATTAATAAAATTATTTCCTAATTCATGGAAGAATTAATTAAATTTTATTTAATTTTATTAAATGGTAGGTGGGACTAATTAAATGGGAAAATATATTAATTGTTTTAATTTTTAGATATAAATAAAGTAAAATTAAGAATTAAAGTAGTTTGTAAATTATTTAAAATTTAAAAAATTCACATAATCATCTTTTACATGATGGATTTTCCACCTAATATTGAAAATGTAAAATAGTCAATCATGTAGCAAAAAAAATTAGCTACATTAACATTTAACTAACGGAAAGACGAAATTGAAAATTGAAGGTGAAGGATGTTTTTGGTACTTTCTGAAGTTTAAGGATGAATTGGTTCAAAAATAAAAGTCGAGAGACCAATTCAAATATTTAACCTAAAAAAAATGTTAGCCACGCTAGCATCACTATTCAATTAATCCTTAAATAGAAAAAGTTAAAAGTTGACATCCTTAAATAGAAAATGTTGAAAATCAATATTTTTATTTAAAAACTGACAAAGTTAATATCCTTATTTAGAAAAAAATTAAAAATTAACATCCTTATTTAAAAAAAATTGAAAGTTGATATCCTTATTTAGAAACTGACAAAATTAACATCCTTAAATAAAAAAAAATATAAAATTAGAGTCTTTATTTACACCTTTACTCCAATTATCTCTTACCATTATTAAAAAAAGATGTTGGTCTAGCTACTAATTAATCATTTTACACAATTGAATCTATTTCGTATCACTTTTACCCGCCTCTTTTTTATGGCACTAACAATTATTCTTTTTTAGTATTTATAATCATGTATTCTATGTCAACTTTTACTTAATTTGAAGTTAATATTATTTTGGATAATTTAAACAC